TCCCCACCCCCGGACAACTCTCTGCCAGTCTGCCGAGACCCTGCCCTCCCGCCTCGCCGCCTCAGCTGGTCTCCATCAGCACACATCAGCCCGGCCGCTGTGGGCTTCTCATAAATACCCCGTCAGCTGTGCTCCACTGTCGGGTTCACACACCTGTAATGCTCGTGACCCACAGGTGCTGCTGCATGTCAGACCTCCCCCGTGTGAGCTGTGCTCACTGTGTGCCTGTGTGCTTTACCTGCCCACCCCCGGCGGGGGACAGCAGTCTGTCTCCAGTGCCCGCCCTGCAGGTGATGGACAGCAGTCTGTCTCCAGTGCCCGCCCTGCTGGTGGTGGACAGCAGTCTCTCTGCAGTGTGGGGCCCTGATAAATGAACCTCCTAGTGACGTCAGGTCCAAGTCTGTGTGTGGATGCATTGTCAGGGCTCTGCGACCTGTGCTGTGTGCCCAGATTCACGAGTGCCCCTCATTGGAGCCCTCCACGCAGGGTCAGAGGGTGTCTGTACAGGGCTGCAGCTGCCGGTTGGGCTGCCTGGCCTTGGTCCCTGGGGTCCTGGGATCAGTGGGGAGGTCACGGGTCCTGGGGGGTGGTGGTCCTGTTGGTGTTTCTTTTTGCCTTCACTCCCATGGGACATATTGGCTATAAGTTGAAGGTGACGGGAGTCGGCCTCAGGACTGTGAGTCATTGGAGAAACCTTTGCAGCTCTGTGTGAGGGTCTGGGGGTGGAAGGTGGTGGGAGTATGGGGTCAAGCCCGGGACACCAGAAAACAGTCATTCGTACCAGGAAAAACAAGGTGTGCAGTAACGGAAGTGTGCTTCTGGAGCCGTGCTCAGCCAGTGGGGCCCAGTGTGTGTGTAGTCACAGTAATTAAAGAGCTGAGCACTCAGGTGACCGGAGACCAGTGCCACACTGCCCTGTGGGCACAGGAGTCCCTGAGTGCCTGGTCAGCAAACATCCTGGAACTCGGGAGACTAGAGGGACACGGCCATGCTGAGCATCCACTGGCCACTGTCAGCCTGTGGGCCGGTTCATCTCCCAGTCGTGGGTGAGAGGTCAGTCCACTCCTCGTGCCCACTGTGGGTGGCCAAGGAGCAGCCACTGACTGCTGGGCACCAGCCCTGCCTGTGGGCAGGTTGCATCCTGTAATTTACCGACAGAGGTGATGCCTCGTGGGTCCCTGGGCCAAGGGTCAAAGGGGCTGGGAGGAGCTTAGCATCTCCATGCCTTCCAGCTGGGGCTTCCGCTGCGTGGGCAGGGAGGAGCCCCGAGCAGTGGCCAGCAAGTGATGGTGCCAGGGCCCTCTGTGTGGCTCTGGGGCTCTCTCTGAGCCCTGTCCACGCTTCTGTTGCTCTGCTCTGATGGTCCATGGGTGACAAGAAAGGGAGCAAGTTCTGCTGTAGGAATTCCTGGGGCTTATGACCTGGGATCCCCCGCCCTGGACCTCAGGAGTCCACCACGGGTCCTGGAAGACCCGTGGCCGGGCGGTAGCGGCCAGAGTGGTCCCAGCTGTTCACGGGGTGTGGGAGCCGCCAGCGCCTCAGCTCCCAGAGCGGGCTGGGGCCAGGCCTGCGTGGGCCGCGCTGGCGGGGCGCCGTCCTGCCTGTGGGGGCCTGCTGGGCACCTCGGGCTGTGGGCCCTGCTCTTTTTTATTTGTTGGCTGAGTGGCTTGTGGGGTCTCAGTTCCCTGAGCAGGGGCTGAACTTGGGTCCTGGCAGCAGAACTGTGGAGAATCCATTGGCCCGCCAAGGAACGGCCCCTGCTTTTCCTTGTTTCTTTGGTAATCTGATGTCATCATTTAGCTTTTGTAGGGAAGGGAGAGTGAAAATAAAAATAGAATAAAAGCAGGTCAGAGACGCTTTTGAAATTGTTAACTCACAGGGAGACAGGGAGCGTGCTCGCCCGGCCTGCGTTCGGCCAGAGTTCACCCCAGGCCATCCTGCCGGCGCGCCTGCCAGGGCTGCCGTGGCCGTGGGCGCGTGTGTCAGACGTGCAGCCTGTGTCCGGCACGGAGCGCTGACTCTGCGTACTGACCCAGTTTTGCAGAAAAGCACAGGAGTTTGCTGTCCTCGCCATAGGCCTCATTTCAGGAATAGAACGAGATTGAGGAGGGTGTTCCAAATGGGCCACTGCTCCAGCTCGTCCCCCTGCCAGGCTCTGATGGAGAGTTGTTTGAGCTCTATAGAGAAAACTGATGTAAGAACCATACTGAGTTCCCATCCAGCTTGTAGAAACTCCCACTGCGTTCACGTCCCCTCCACCTTCCCCTCCACCTCGGGGGCAGCGCCTATCTCTGGAATCTGAGTCCACGTCCACCGTGGCTCCATGACTGGCCGCATTCTGAAAGTTTCAGATCCTCTGGATTTTGAAAGTGCAAGCAAGACTTAACGTTTGAAAGTGGGAAGACAGGCAGTGTCAGCCACGCCTTTTCCAGCTTTGCGCTGGGAGGTGGTCCTCTCCCTCCCTGGTTCACCGAAACCTTTTCACCGTCGTCTTGCCGCTGCTCTGTGCCAGGGGCCCCTCCTCAGGTGGCCCCACGAGCCCAGGCTATGGACCTCAGAGCCCGGCTGGGGGCTGATGACCTAGGTCCAGATGCCAAAAAAGAGCGTCCTCTGACCCAGGAGGCTGGTGCTGACGTCCCAGCGTCCTTTCCCAGGCACGTCGGGGGGCTGGCTGGTGCAATTGGCCTCAGGGACGTCCGGGTCACGTGACACACACTCAGCACGGGCCCGGCTTGTGTAGACACTTACTGCTGGCATCTGTGTTTGCTCACAGCTCGGATGCCCTGCGTGTGGGTTTTCCTCAGGAGCAGCTCTCCGGGCTCTGTGGACACCACCTGGGCATCCGATAGCCACCGCCCAGAGTGAGCACAGGTCCCTGCGGGTGCCGGCAGCCCTGCCTTCCGCCTGGCCTGACTGCAGGCCTGAGTCCCCACAGCCCCTCCTGGGCCTGATGCTTGCTAGAATGGCTCAGAGCCCCGGCAGGCGCTTTGCTGCCCATTCCCTGTTGATCTGTGAGCCGGGTCCGCAGGGCAGGGCATGACGTGGGGGCGTCTGGGCCGTGCCCCCCTCCTGGCTCCTGCCGGTGCTCCCAGCCCGAACTCCCGGACCCCCTCCGTCCGGGGTGTGAGTGGAGGCTCCGTTCCACGGGTGGGACTGCTTAACCCCTGACCTTGGGAGATTACCAGTGTCTCCACTCCCTCTCTGTTCCAGGAGGTCAGAGGTCAGAGGTGGGGTGTAGGTCACCTGACTGGTGTGAACCCAAGTGAGGCTGAAAGGGGCTTGTTATGCACAAAAGAAGCTCTTCTCACCCTCCACTCAGGGAACCCTGGGTCCTTGCGGCTCGGTGCTGGGTTGGGGATGAAGACCAGGTGGATGCTTGTCACCGCCCAGAGTGAGCACAGGTCCCTGCGGGTGCCGGCAGCCCTGCCTTCCGCCTGGCCTGACTGCAGGCCTGAGTCCCCACAGCCCCTCCTGGGCCTGATGCTTGCTAGAATGGCTCAGAGCCCCGGCAGGCGCTTTGCTGCCCATTCCCTGTTGATCTGTGAGCCGGGTCCACAGGGCAGGGCATGACGTGGGGGCGTCTGGGCCGTGCCCCCCTCCTGGCTCCTGCGGGTGCTCCCAGCCCGAACTCCCGGACCCCCTCCGTCCGGGGTGTGAGTGGAGGCTCCGTTCCACAGGTGGGACTGCTTAACCCCTGACCTTGGGAGATTACCAGTGTCTCCACTCCCTCTCTGTTCCAGGAGGTCAGAGGTCAGGGGTGGGGTGTAGGTCACCTGACTGGTGTGAACCCAGGTGAGGCTGAAAGGGGCTTGTTATGCACAAAAGAAGCTCTTCTCACCCTCCACTCAGGGAACCCTGGGTCCTTGCGGCTCGGTGCTGGGTTGGGGATGAAGACCAGGTGGATGCTTGTCATGGCGTCGGGGTGTCTCTGCAGGGTGGCTGCAGAAACAAGGGCGTCGTTCCTGCTCCTTGGATCGGGCTCGGGCTGCTCAGAGGCTGGGGGCGGGGGGCAGGGTGTTTCCTTCGGGAGGGTCGCTGCTGTGGGGTCCTGTCTGAGAAGCGGGATCTCTGCTGACATCAGTGTAACCCAGCATGATGTGATGGAGTGTCCTTGAGACTCATTATAAAATAAAACATGTTGAAAAAAAAAAACATGTTGTAGAAGATAAAGTAAAAAAGGGGGGGAAATGAAAGCCGTGCGAGTCTGGCATGGCTGGACAGACGTTATCTCCTGACCCGACCCTCGCAGGACAGGTTCTTGAAAATACGGCATCTGGGGCTTCCCTGGTGGTCCCCCTGTACTCTCCCTGCTGAGGGCCCAGGTTCACTCCCTGACTGGGGACCTGAACTCCCAAAGCCACATGGCGCAACTAAAATAAGTAAGTAAATAAATGAACTAATGAAAAGGGAGCCTGGCACCTCATTCCTTCTCGAGCTGGAGAGCACCACAGAGCTCCGTGTCCTCCGCCTTCTCCTTACAGCTAGCAACTCTGTGAGGAAGGACCCTTTCGCCATCCAGGCCGCCCCTCCACCAGAGCTGGCACAGAGCCGAGGTTCCCGGGGCCACACTGCCTGCGGCTTCCCGCCTGTGCCTCCCACGGCCACGCTGGCCCCACCCGTGCCCGCCCCGTGTGCCCTTTCCTGTGACACTGCCGGGGTGCCCGGGGCTGCCGCTGAGCCGTCTCCTCTCTCCCCTTCCCAGTGACACCTCTGTGGTGCCCGGGGCTGCCGCTGAGCCATCTCCTCTCTCCCGTGCCCGCCCCGTGTGCCCGTCCCTGTGACACCGCTGGGGTGCCTGGGACCGCTGCTGAGCTGTCTACTCTCTCCCCTTCCCTGTGATAACGGGGAGGCCCGGGGCCGCCGCTGAGCCATCTCCCCTCTCCCATGCCCGTCCCTGTGATACCGCCGGGGTGCCCAGGGCCACCGCTGAGCTGTCTACCCTCTCCCATGCCCATCCCTGTGACACCACCGGGGTGCCCAGAGCTGCCGCTGAACCGTCTCCTCTCCTGCAGATCCCGATGGCCCGCTGTGCGGTGTCACACCTGCCCCTGACGAGGAGCTGCCTGCCTGCCCCGAGGAGTTCGACGACTTCGTGACCTTTGAGGCAAGTGGTTTTCCTGGGAGAGCCGAGAGCGAGTCTGACGGACACACCCCCCTTCCTCGTGCACCCTAAACCCTGCGTCACTCGCTGGCCCCTGGGGAGCGCCGTGCAGGGCAGGCAGGGGGCACTATGACTGTCTGGTGGTTGGTAGGGGTCTGCTGTCCACATTTTGCACCCGAGGCTGATGGCAGGAGGGCCCCTGGGGCCTGGGGTCAGCAGGGGGCAGGCTCTCCTGTGTCGTTGCTGGGCCCTTCTGCCAGGCCATTGGAATGTGTGGTGAGGGTCTTGTTTTATCAAAAATGTCCCTAGACCGAGAAAATGGGCCTGGGGACGCTTGACTTACACCTTGCTGCCCTTAGCCCCTGCCCCCAAGAGGGCATCCCAGATGGCTCAGTGGGAAAGAATCTACCTGCCAATGCAGGATTGCTGCTGCTGCTAAGTCGCTTCAGTCGTGTCTGACTCTATGTGACCCCATAGATGGCAGCCCACCAGGCTCCCCCTGTCCCTGGGATTCTCCAGGCAAGCACACTGAGTGGGCTGCCATTTCCTTCTCCAATGTGTGAAAGTGAAAAGTGAAAGTGAAGTTGCTCAGTCGTGTCCGACTCATAGTGACCCCATGGACCGCAGCCTACCAGGCTCCTCCATCCATGGGAGTTTCCAGGCAAGAGTACTGGAGTGGGTTGCCATTGCCTTCTCCAGGGTAATGCAGGATTATCGGTGTCTGATTAGTAGGAGACTCAGGTTTCACTCCTGGGTGGGAAAGCTCCCCTGGAGAAGGAAATGACAGCCCACTCCCGTATTCCTGCCTGGAGAGCCCCAGGAGCAGGAGAGCCTGTCTGGCTATACTCCGTGGGAGCACAGAGCTGGACACGAGTGAGCGGCTGAGCACACGCGCGCCGTGGGGAGAAGGCGTGTGAGTGGAGCCGCAGAGGAGGCCCAGACCGCTTCATCACCGGGGTGGTGCGGGGCAGCGGCTGGGCGGGCCCCAGTGGCCCCATCTGGAGTGTTTTTCTGTTTCGGCCACAAGGCATGTGGGAACCTTCGTTTCCCTACCAGGGGTCGAACCCATGCCCCCTGCATCGGAAGTCTTAAGCCCTGGACCACCTTAACCACTTAACCACTGTACCACCAGGGAATTCCCGAGGAATTTCCTTTTTAAAAAACACAGCCTGCTGTTGCCCGGGGCAGGGTGTGGGGAGACGGTGGGCCTGAGGCCATGCCCTTACCCTCTGGGCGTTGGCTCCTTGGGAAACGAAAGCCCCTCGGAGTGCTGATGGCCCACAGGACCCCTGCCTTCCACAGAGTCTATTTCCCTGCTCTGATAAACTGGCCTTCAATGGCACAGGTTCACTTCTGCCAGCATGGGCCTCCAGGCCACCCGCAGCTGTTCACCCCTCACAGCTCTGTCCCAGAGCCCCACCTGGGCCTGAGCCCCTGAGGACAGGAACCGCCCGCCGTGCGTCCCTACTCAGTAGGGGCTTGTGCCTTCGTTCTGGGTGTGACCGGGGGCGCCGGGCCATTCCTGCTCCGTGGGGACCAGGTGCCCGCGGGCACGAGTGCTGGCTGTGAGGGGCGGCCTGGTCAGGCAGGGAGGGCGTGCAGGCCCGGACACGTCAGCTGTCCAGCCCACCCTCAGCCCTGGACCCTGAGGTGGTGAGTCGGGGAAGGCTGTGGAAGACCGACACACCTGGAGCCTCCCAGCAGAGCAGCTCGGGCCCGGAGAGGCTGCTTGTCTTTGAGCGTCCAGGGAACCCTGGTCTCCTCGCTTACCTGGTTGGCCAGCAGCTGACCTCTCCTGCCCACTGACACCCCAGAGCATGCTTTGCCATCAGTATCTTCCATTCTGTTCTTCTCCAGAATCTCAGAGTGTTCTGTTGATTCTTTGTATGTTATGTGTACATGGGCATCATGGGTTGAATCGTAGCCCCCAAAGGTCCACCGGAAGCCGTGAAAGTGACCCTATTTGGAGAAGAGATCTTTGCAGAGCTCATTATGCTGGGTAGGGTGGGCCCTGACCCCAGTGACCAGTGTCCTTGGAAGAGAAAGGGAGAGGACACACTGGAAGAAGGCAGGATGAAGACGGGGCAGAGCTGGAGGAGCATGGCCTCCAGCTGGGAAGTCCCCAAGTGGTCCCCAAGCCGCCAGGAGCTGGGTTCAGCCCTGCTGACACCTTCACTTCCAACTTCTGCCTCCAGACCTACGGGAGAATACATTCCCGTTGCTTTAAGCCTCTGGTTTATCGAAATCAGATGCCCCAAGGAACTAGAGTGACTTCTGTGATCCAAACAGTGAAAGGCATCAGCACTGGGGCTGCCTCCTGGAGCCTGATGCCGCAGGCTTGGAGTGCTTTCCGACGCCAACCCCCTTCTCGCAGGGTGGACCCCTTGCAGCCCAGAGGTGCCACCCTGCCTCCTAGGTGCCGCTTGACTCGTGGGCGTGCCAGCCCCGCCTTGGGCTTGTCCCCTTCGGAAGGTGCAACAGGAGTGCTGCTCAGGTGTTGAGAGCACAATTTGTCTTCAACAAGGAGGGCCCATTTTAAGTTGTTGTTGTTGCTGTTTTCTAGCAGTTTTAGGTTTACAGAAGAGGGAGCAGATGGCACAGGGAGTTCCCGCTCACCCCCACACACACACACACACACACACACAGTGTCCCTGCAGAACATCTCCCACTCTTGCAAGGGAACCAGCATGGATACATTGTTACTGAAGTGCAGGCTTCATCAGGGCTCCTCTGCGCTGTGCAGGACCTGTAGGTGTTAGTGGTTGTCCTTTCACTGCTTTAAAATCCTCTCTGCCCCCTAGGTTCGTTCCTTCCTGCCACCAGCTCCCGAGACCTCTGAATTTGTACCATCTCCGTAGTTTTGCTCTTTAATGATTTCATAGACTTGGTTGAATCCACAGCTTCAGGCCTTAAAAGTTCCTCCATGTGTTTTTTGCTCTTTAAGGTTTTAGATGTGATTTTGAGAGGAGTGGAACTAGGTGCTATACAGAGACTTGTAGAGAGCTGGGTTTTGTTTTTTTTTTCCTCTAAACTTTTGAATCGTGTAAACCTAATAAGTCCTGTAAGAATATGAGTGAAGATAATGTGTATTACATCCAGTACCACATTTGGAGACCCCCTGCCTTATGTTCATTTTCTGGTGGGGTCCAGCAGTGCTGGTCAGGGGTGCCCTGTGTATAACATCAAGGGCTCCTCCCAGGTCCGTTCCTGCCAGTGACAGGGGTCCATGGCCAGCGTTTCCCCAAGTGCCCCTGTGGCCCCAGCTTGTAGCAGAGCTCCCAGGAGAAAGGTGTTTTTTTGTTTTTGTTTTTTGCCTCACCATGTGGCTTGTGGGATCTTATTAATAGTTTCCCACCAGGATTTGAAACTGTGTGCTGGATGTGAAAGTGCCCCCAGAGAATTCCCTAGAAGAAAGTTTCTGATGTGGACTTTCTAAGAAGGGGCGGGGTGGGGTGAGTGCAGGTTGTAACTGAGGTTCGACCGAGAAGAAGGCTCTGGGTGTGAATCTGAGCCCTTGAGGCAGAAAGCAGCTGGCAGAGGTGGAGGACCCCGCCACAGGAGGGGCCGCAGGAGGCAGGAGAAAGGGACGATAGGAGTGAGCTCCGTTGTGCCTTCTCTGGCTCCTTCCTCCTCCCACTCCCAGTCTTATAATTCCCTAGAAGAAAGTTTCTGATGTGGACTTTCTAAGAAGGGGCGGGGTGGGGTGAGTGCAGGTTGTAACTGAGGTTCGACCGAGAAGAAGGCTCTGGGTGTGAATCTGAGCCCTTGAGGCAGAAAGCAGCTGGCAGAGGTGGAGGACCCCGCCACAGGAGGGGCCGCAGGAGGCAGGAGAAAGGGACGATAGGAGTGAGCTCCGTTGTGCCTTCTCTGGCTCCTTCCTCCTCCCACTCCCAGTCTTATAAGAAGATGGGGAAATGGGCTTTTTGTGCAAACTCTTATCAGAAGGGCTAGAAGAGCAAGAACAAAAGCGTCTCTGTTTTGAGCAATGTTTGTTAAAAACCCAGCAAGCGTTTCCTGAACTTTGCCCCCTTGCCAGCCAGTGTAGCAGGTTCAATGGAGCGCGTCTGGGAGCAGGTTAAACGACTGCTGAGGCTGTGATGGACCTTCAGGTGGACAGACAGAACCTCTGCACCCCCAGCCGGTAGGAGGCCACTGGAGCTGACGGCCGGCTGGACGGAGCGCCGGCACCCAGTTCCGTGGGAAGGCTGTCTGCACACGCGCCCTTCCTGGAGCTGCTGTGTGGAGCCGGCCGGCTGGGCGGGCATCTGAGGGTAAGAGAAGGCAGGGCCCCAGCCACGCTCGGCCCAGCCGCCGGTTCCCCTCAGAGGGACCGTGGGCGGACGGCGGGGCCTCAGGCAGGCCTAGCCACCCCGGAGCTCCTCGCTAAGGGCGGTGCGGGCGAGCTCCCTGTCCACCGCGCTTGTTACCTGGTGAGGAAACAGCTAAGCGTTCTCAGGCACACTGTGATTTCCTTAAACTCATCCTGATCATAGTTTACTGTCGTTTCTTTGCTGGCGTTGCGAGGTGGGCTGGTGGCACCAGGGCTGCAGGGGCAGGGCTCCGAGCCCCTCTGCTCCTGCCAGGCTGCCCCACACAGCTGCTGCCTCCTGAAGGGCAAGCTTCACTAGCCCTCTCTGGAAAACATCCGGCTTGTGAGGCTTATTCAGGGCAGCCTGACTCCAGGGGGAGACCAGCCGCCCTGTCCTCCTGACCCCCTCAGCCCCCCTCAGACTTTGCCCGTGGTCCTCCGGGAGCCTCAGGGCCTCCTCTCCCGTGGGTTGCTCTGGGCCCTGGGAGCCAGTCCTGCTGTGGGAAGGAGCGTGGAAGGTAGGCGAGTGTTCCTCTCTGTCTCTTCTGAACGCTGGGATTAGCGTCTGCCTCATCTTCCTGCTGGCGGGGGAGGGGGGTGACTTCCATCCTGCCAGCTCCAGGAGGAGGCTCACTTGGGCTGCAGCTACAACCGCGGGGGAGGTCAGCAGGCCTGCGCACCAGGCCCACCCTGGCGCCAAGTGGGCCAGGGCTTCTGTGCACCCAGCTGCCCACGTGGACCGGCGCCCCGCTGCTCAGAAGAGCCTCTGCTGGGGGTGCTGGCCTCAAGTCACACTCTGTCCCTGCGGGAAGCCTGTGTCGCAGGTGTGTGGGCCCACCTGCTTCCGGCCAAGGGCAAGTGGGGGGAAGGAGGGCCCCGGGCAGCTGTCCCTCGGACCCGGGCAGGGGGGTCCAGCCTTGACACTGTGGTGCCTGCCTGCAGGCTCAGCCTGGAGCCAGCCACTCAGTGGTCCTGAGAAGCACAGTGGGGGCCTCTTGAAGGGAGTCCCTGGTTTCAGTTTTGAAGTGAGCACTCTTTGTGGATTACATAGTCACCTGGGACTTCGAGAAGTATGGGGTTTTCCTTGGAACAGGAGCGTCGAGGAAGGCCTGCAGTGGGGACCTCAGGCCCTCCCTGTCTCATGCTGCCCCACACCAGCTGGCACGCGGGCCCCCTTTCAGGCTGTCCCTCACCTGCCCGTGTGACGGCCATGTTCTGAGAGGTGGCGACCTCAGGAGAGCCGCGTCCAGCCCGTTCTCCCCTCGAGGCGGCGCCACTTGGACACTCACCAGCTACACAGCTGGTGGGCTGGTCACACGACCGGTGGAAGGCAGACGGGGCGGGACCTGTTCTCCACTGGGCACAGGTGTGGGGGCAGCCATGCGGGGCCCTCTGCCCACCCGCCCCGAAATCTCGTGGCAGAGCCCAAGGACAAAGTGCAGCCTCTCCAGCCTCTGAAATCTCACTCATTTGTCCATCGTTAACCAGCATGAAAGCTTGGCTGCTTTGCTAACCAGGGCAGTTGCCCCTCAATTAAAGCTGAGGTTACGAAGCGAAGGCAACCTATGTACTGGCTGTAAGTTCATTTGGACAGTCTGCAGATACCTACTTGGTGCTGGGTCCACAAGAGTGGAAACACAGGTGTGTTTAGTGCGGAAGTAGCCACTTAACCGGTGAAGGTAATTGATCCAACAGTTGATGAATTCAGATTTTGAGGTTAGACCATGTAATTGAGTTTCAGAGCAGTAGTCTGCACGTAGGTAGTAGTCATTTGGTGGGGCTTTTAAATTGAAAAAGGCGTGTCCTTAGACTGTTGGACGTCAGTACACGGGGTGGGTCATTCCAGTGCTGGGGGCCACAAAGGGCCGGCTCTCCCACTGTGTACACTGGGGCGCTGGGCACTTGTGTCTGCTTGAGGCATGTTTACATACACAACTAACTTTAAAACACACTGAAGTCTGCCGTGAGCCACTGTTTCTGCTTGGAAGTGCAGGAGGGGCATCTCCTCATGGACGCTCCCCACCATGGGCCCCTCCGCGGCCGGGACTGACTCTGGGCGTCTCTCCTAGGCCAACGAGGTGACGGACAGTGCGTACATGGGTTCCGAGAGCACCTACAGCGAGTGTGAGACCTTCACGGACGAGGACACGGGCACCCTGGTGCCACCCGAGTGCCTGGACGCTGTGGAGGAGCCTGGGCACGGTGCCCTGCTGCTGCTGCCCGGCAGGTGCGTTCCCATCCGCCCGCCCAGCCGCTGGCAGGGGTCATGGGCCCTCGGAGGGTCCTGGCAGAGCACGAGCCTGCAGAGTCCCCGGTCCGAGAGAGGCCGCGTGGGCCGCCCGTTGGGTGCTCATGTGTAGTTGTGGGGAGGGCATTCGCTTGGCACTCAGGGTTTTGTCGTCACGGGTCTTGGCTCTCGTGACACAGCCAGAGGCATGCTCTTCGGGGCGCGTCTTCACCTGGTCCAGAGGCACCAGGCGGGTTATCCTTGTTATCAGCCGCACTGTGGGAATGTGTGCGGCTCCTTCGTTTCCCATCAGTGGACCCCGGGCTCCGGGCAGCTTACAGTGTAGGTTTCCTGGATGAAGCTGCACATCAGCGTCATGTCTTTCTGTGTGGGCTTTGTCCTCACCGATTGGGGTGTGCCTGGGGCCCGGGCTTGGCTGTAGGGATTACTGTGGGTTGGATTGTCTCAGGCAGCGTTGGCTGGCTCCCTGCCAGCCTGCTGCCCGCGGACTCTGGCTGCTTCATCCTGGCAGCTCCTGGCATCATCTGCTTCTCCCTGCTCTGGCGCAGAGTGGGCGGTCCTCACCTGGGTTTCCCAGGAGCCTGACGGGCGGCGCCTTGCTGGCACGCTGCCCCGTGAAGACCCTCTCCCCTGCAGGCTGGTGCCCCTTTGTTGACAGCCAGGCTCTGCAAGCTGGTCCACAAGAGACAGGACAGTGAGCGCGTGCTTCTCCTCAGTTCTGGGTCAGCTGCCCCGTGCAGACGGGCATGGGTGGACCTGGCCTCCCAGGTCCTCCAGCCTCAGTGGTTGGAGCCCTTGCTGTGTCTCAGGGGTCCCCTCTGCCCCAGGCGTGCTGGAATCATGTCCCCCCGCCACTCGCTTGGGGTACCTTTTAATTCTCTGGGGCGTCTGGCGTGTCTGTGGTTGGCCTGCCTGTGCTGTTTCAGTCTCTGCTCACTCCACATCACTGCAGCAATACTTGCACTTTTCTTTGAAAGCTTTATTGTTTTGCCACTGTTCTCAGCGCTGCATCTCCTGTGTGTGCTGTGAGGCAGGGGTCACATCTCCTATCCTCGGGAGACAGAGGCATCAGGATGTCCATTGGCTTAGGCTCGGTTTGAAGCTTCCTCTTTGCTCTCTGGCCCCCGAGGTGGCCGAGTGTGTGTGCTGTGCTGGCTGGCCCGCTTGGCTGTGTGTGCCCTGAGCGGGTCAGCACCGTGTGGTCCTGGTGTGTGCGCCTCCAGCCCCCTCTCCAGGGCTGTGTCATCTCCTTCGGCCTTGGCGCATCCATGTGGATCCCAGACTCGGCTTGTTAGTCTCTGGGGAGGGCACCTGCTGGGCTGGGCGGGCATGTGCTGGGTCCACAGTTTATTTGACAGAACCAGCATCTTGAAGTATGGGCTTCCCATCCTTCAAACAGTTTATTGCTGCATTTACTGGAGTCTTTCTTGGCTTGCTGTGTTGGGGGTGGCCATCTGCTGGGGGGCAGTCATGCGTGCACAGTGGGCCCTTGGCTCTGCTGGGGCCAGAGGGACAGCTGTGGGGGCCATGGGCCAAGCCCCACGTGTGAAGATGGAGCCTGCGCAACTCCCCAGGGGCTGGGGAGAGAGGGTTAGGATGCAGCACGTGGGGCTGGGGTACTGCCTTAGTGCAGCTTCCTAACCAGTGTTTGTAAGGTAATCAGGTAAGTTCGTTTAATTCCATTTGGGTCAAGTAATCAAAGCTGGAGAAGTGCTAAATCCAGGAAACCATTAGAGGTCTTCGATTTTCTCTGGAAGTTTCTGGCCTTGGGCTGTGACTTGCTGTCAGGATGCACTGACATCACGTGAGCCTCAGTGTGACACACCCAAATCGGTGGCAGGATGCCCATCTGGGTTGAGGTCACCTGTCTCCTGTCGTTGTGGTGCGTGCCGGGCTCACGGCCCGCCCCAGGCCCCCAGCACGAGGTGCATGTCCCCTCTGATGTGGGGACATGTGCCTGGCTGCTCGCTGCCCCGAGCACCCGGGTCCAATGCATGGTGGCCACGCGGGGTCCCTCTCGCCATGCGGGCGGCTTCCTGTCCCAGGTCTGGGTGCGTGCACACTCGAGCAGCTCATCTGGAGAAACAGAAGCAGCTCTGTGTGATCAGGCAGCTGTCGGGAGGAACCCCTTCTTCTTGGCTTCGGTGGCCAGCGGGTGGCAGGAAGACTCAGGATGCTCTTCAGAGATGGCTGAGATCCTGAGCCCCTGGGCTGTGTCAAGGTGGAGCCCGAGCTGCGTGTGCACGACTGTGGCTCTGGGCAGAGGACGGACAGCCTCCGTGACCCCCGGGCCCCCCGAGGGGCAGCTCCAGTGCCTGCTCACAGGTTCTGGGGTGGGGGGGCTGTGGTGAGGAGGGGGTCCGGTCCCAGCCAGGAGTGTCTGCTGGGAGCCAGGGTACAGTGAACCCCAGACTCCAGGGCATCTTGTGACTGGCGGACACAGACCATGAAGCTCCGGTTGTGGACGTGGTGGTATTGGGTTGGTTGGGCCAGGTGGAGTCTGTGGGCAAAGTCAGTCTCACCTGAGTTCACCTTTCTCAGTGTGACTGCGGGAACAGGCCCTCACACGTGTGGTCGCCGTGGGCCCCGACCAGAGGCTCGGGTCACATCCGCAGCTCTGGGGTGCTCGGTCCCGAGGCGGCAGCTGACTCTCCTTTGCCTCCACAGGTCCCACCTGCAGGGCCAGTCTGTGGTCGCGGTTATAGGTGGCGAGGAGCACTTCGAGGACTATGGCGAGGGCAGTGAGACGGAGCTGTCCCCGGAGACCCTCTGCGGTGGGGACCACGGCTGCAGGGACCCTGCCTTCCTCACCCCCAGGTAAAGGCTCCTGTTGGCAGGCTGGTCTCATTCCCTGTGATGTAGCTGAGCAATGCCCCTGAGTGTAGGGTTGCTGTTGGGGTGAATGTTGGCTGCAGCTCCTCTTGTCCCGTTGCGGTCCAGTCTCTCCCCGTTTGAGAGGCCTCGGCCGAGCGCCAGGCATACAGGCAGGGGACACTTGGCTGTGCGGGTTTCTCAGCGCTGCTTGTGAATTGAGTTGTGATTTTCAGTGAGCTTGAGGGAGGCTCTGTGTGTGTGTGTGTGTGTGTGTGTGTGTGTGATGTGTGTTCTCTGTGTGTGAGAGTGCATGTGTGGGTGTCATGTGTGTTGCCTGTTGTGTGTGTGTCTGTGTGTCACGTGTGTTCTCTGTGTGATGTGTGTGGTATGTGTTGCCTGTTCTGTGTGTGTAGCATGTGTTCCGTGTGTGATGTTGGTGGTATGTGTGTGGCCTGGTCTGTGTGTGATGTGTGTGGTATGTGTGTGTGGCCTGTTGTGTGTCACTTGTGTTGGGTGTGTGTCGTGTGTGGTGTGTCTGTGATGTGTGTGGTGTGTGGGTGGCCTGTCCTGTGTGTGTCGCATGTGGTGTGTGTGTGTGGTGTGTGTTGCCTGTTCTATGTCATGTGTGTTCTCTGTGTCATGTGTGTTCTGTGTGTGGTGTGTGTGGCCTGTTCTCTGTGTGTCGTGTGTGTTCTCTGTGTCATGTGTGTTCTCTCTGTGATATGTGGTGTGTGACCTGTTCTGTGTGTCACGTGTGGTGTGTGTGACGTGTGTGGTGTGTGTGTTGCCTGTCATGTGTGTGTCACGTGTGTGTGGTGTGTGATGTGTGTGGTGTGTGTGACCTGTTCTGTGTGTTGCGTGTGTGGTATGTGTGGTGTGTGGCCTATTCTGTGTGTGTCGCGTGTGTTCTCTGTCACATGTGTTTTCTATGTGTGATATGTGTGGTGCGGCCTGTCTTGTGTGTTTTGCGTGTGTTGTGTGTGTGTCGCGTGTGTGTGGTGTGTGTGACATGTTCTGTGTGTCACATGTGTTGTGTGTATCGCATGTGTGTGGCGTGTGGGGTATGTGGCATGTTCTGTGTGTCACGTGTGTGGTGTGTGTGGCCTGTTCTGTGTGTGGCCTATCCTGCGTGTGTCACGTGTGGTGTGTGACATGTTATGTGTGTCAAGTGTGTGGTGTGTCGCATGTGTTGTGTGTGTCATATGTGTGGTGTGTGTGACGTGTGTGGTGTGTTACCTGTTCTATGTCATGTGTGTTCTCTGTGTCATGTGTGTTCTCTGAGTGGTGTGTGGCCTGTTCTGGGTGTCACGTGTGTTCTCTCTGTGTGGTGTGCGACCTGTTCTGTGTGTCACGTGTGGTGTGTGTGTGTCACGTGTGGTGTGTATGACGTGTGTGACGTGTGTGTGGCCTATCCTGTGTGTGTCACATGTGTGGTGTGTGTGATGTGTGACATGTGACGTGTGTGTGGCCTGTCCTGTGTGAGTGGGTGCTGGCGTCCTGCTCAGCTCTCCTCTCACCTTGCTGATGGGCCTCCCCCTACACGCCCCTTCGTGTTCTGTACACACCGAAGGCTTGTGGAAGCCCTGCCACACTTTCCCAAGGGCAGTGCTTACATCAGTCTCTGTGTCACATTTGGGAAATTCTCAGCATTCCAAACCTTTGGTATGATTATGATTATGGTTGGAGTCTGGGATCGGCAACCTATGACGTGACTGTTGTCAACCGATTGGATCTCCCTAAAGGCTCAGGTGATGGTGAGCATTTTTTAGCAATAAAGTATTTTTCAGTTAAGGTATGCACATTGTACTTTTTTTTGGCTGCACCACATGGCATTTGGAATCTTAGTTCCCCGACCAGGGATTAAACCTGTGCCCCTGCAGTGGGAGCTGGGAGTCCAGGAAGTCCCTGCATTTTTTTTAGACATGATGCTTTAGACTACAGTGTAGTCACTTTTACTTGCACTGAAAACAGAAACAGAAACTTCCAGTGACTCCTTTTCCTGCGACTGGCCACAGATGAGGCTGCAGTAGCTCTGAGGCCTGCCTGCCTGCTCGGAGTTTTCTGTTTCTCCGTGTTTTCCCGCGTGTCCTCAGACCGTGTTCCTCTTGTAGCTGGGTGCTTGTGTCCTTTGACCAGCCTCTGACAGAGGCGTCTGCATCACAGACGGCTGTTGGGATTCATTTCCTATAATGACCTGGCATCCCCAAACTGGAAGGTTCGGCCTTGAATACACCGGGCTGTGGCATCTGGCGGGCCAGCCCTGGGCTCACGGGCAGGCTCCTCCGAGCTCTGCTTCCTCTCTGGGCGGCAGGAGGCCGTGGAGGAAGCACCCACCATGGCATCCAGGCCAGGGGTGTGCCCACCCCCGTCAGCCCCGTGTCCCCCTGCTCCTGGTTCTGGGGATTCTCCGCCCGTGCCCACAGTGGAGGTGGTGGACTTGGGTGTGCCGAGAGGGGTGCGCTCCGCTGGGGTTGCCCGAGGCCCTGCAGCGCACGTGCCTCCACTGGTTCCATGTGCACCGCGTCCTCGGCTTCGTCTGCAGGGTGACATCTGTGCTTCAGTTGATGTCTGCCTTTCGCTTTCCAATAGCCTGGGGTCCTCGTGTCTGCAAGCCGTGGCCACACTTCCCATTGCCCTGAAGGCTCCTGTGCCTAGTTCGTGGGGGCAGTTAACGATTCTGAGTTTTAGGGGACGTCCTCCCCGCAGCCCCAGCTGCCATGCTCCCTAGACGGTCACTGCCGTGGCCACAGGGCAGGAAGCAAGGCGCTGGCCGCGTGTCCCGCTCTCACACGGTCAGGTTTCGGGCGGAGGACGCAGGTGTCGCGACGTTTGCTTCTCGGCGAAGCTGCCAGGCTCTCCCGTGTCCTGAGTGCCTGACCGGGAAGGCTCTGGCCCCCACACAGAGAGTGTCGCGGTCCCAGAGGTGGGGCGAGGGCCTCTGCACCGGCTCCCCACCCAGCCCCGGCCCAGCCCCTCCTGAAGATGCACCTCTCGCCCCTCCAGCACCGACCCACTCAGCACCAAGCTGCACAGCATCCTCACTGACGAGGCCTTTGAGTTTTACTGCAGCCAGTGCCACAGGCAGATCAACCGCCTGGAGGACCTCTCTGCTCGCCTGAACGACCTTGAGAAGAATAGGTAACCCAATCCCCCTCCTCATCCGACCCCCTCTCTGCCTGACGCCGCCCACCCCCAAGTCGGAGTCCCGGGGGCAGCCCCTGGCTCCTCATGGCCTCCAGTTGCAGGCAATAGCTTGGGCAGTTGGCGTGCGTCAACGTGTCCATTAGGCAGGCTGACGCTCTAGCTTGTTGTGTGGAGCAATGAGCCCTCATGCCGCACACCCCACAGCCTCACCCCGCAGAGGAGGTGTGGGACCACCCGGCTCTATTGTGCTGCAAACTTCCAGGGGACTTCCTGGAGGAGGGGGCCTTGACTGGCGGGAGTTATGTGAAATGTGAACCATCCTGATGGTGCCATGTGTCCATGTCCCCTGGGCCTGCTGTCGGCCCCTCAGCCGGCCTGGTGGACCCTTGACAACAGCCTGTCGTATGCATCCTCCTGCCACACTCAGCTGCGTCCAGCCAGAGCCCGGTCAAGTAAGGGACGGGTCTGATGGGCAGCTTCGCAGGGAGCCTGGGCCCCGGCAGCACTGAGGAGGAACTGGAGGTGCCCAGTGAGGGGCTTCAGGGGACAAGGGGGCTCGGAGACCCGCCGGCCCCCCTACCCCTCGTTTTCAGCCCAATGCTCCGTGCACGCCTTTGGCGGGCCCCCCCGCCAGGCTGGGGAGGTCATTTGTACTTCCCAAGCGGGGCCCTGCCGTCTCTGTGTTTGAGAGTGAACTTGAGGACACACGTGCATCTTAGTTCTCCCGTTCTGAAGTCTCTTGACGTGGAGGTGCTCTTTTCCACGTTGAGGGCCTGCTGCAGGGCGGCCACAGTCGCTTCTGTGAGGCTTTGTGGGGCAAAGAATAGACCGGGGCGTGGCTACATCCAGCCAGCAAATCTAGGGGGTCTCACGTCCATTTCAGCCACCTGTTCCCTAAGAAAGGCGCTAACAAGAGGGTTAACATGCCATCAAAGCCTTCATTACAGTCAGGACACAGCTGTCAGGTGGGAAGTTCCTCTCTTACCTGCTCCAGGAGAGGCTTGCCCTCAGCGTCCATGGAACTGTCTCAGGGTGCGCGGATCTAGTGTGTGGTTATGAAAGGTGACTCAGTCCAGTGTCCAACAGGTTTGACATCAGGTGTGATTTCTACCTCCCGACCCTCAGAACACACGTACTTGGCATGTTCCTGGTGCCTCCGTGAAATACTTCATTGTGTGACAATGGGGAGTCGGCTTTACCCAGAGGTGTGGGTGCTGTGGGCCCAGTGGGGAGGAGTCAGCTGGACCGCTGTCTCTCCTGAGCTGATGCTTCGTCAGTCAGGCGGGGGGACACGTAGTGAGCTGAACGGGAAGTATGAGAGAGAGTGACCAGTTCCCACGGGGCCAGGGGTTGGCAGGGAGGAGAGGAGGGCAGAGAGGAGAGCCACTCAGCCCGCGCCCACACCTTGCAGACTCGCTGGACATCTCTGTCAGGGCCTGAGTTCCACCACAGCACGCTTCATGCAGCCGGGCCCCGGGAAGCAGGCCCCGTCTTGGGTCCCTGTGCTGCCGCAGCGTCAAAAGCCAGGGCCAGGGCCATGTCCCTCCCCAGCCCCACACTGTTCTCTGAGAGGTGGCTGGTGCCTCCTGAGGGCCTGGCGCTGGTTTAGCAGGTAAACTGGGAAGTGGAACCCAGGACATCAGAGGCGAGAGGTGCGGTCAGCTGGCCCTTCTGCCACTGCAGACGGTCCCGTGAGGCAGGCGCCCTAGAGCTGGCATGCCTGCCCTGGATGGTGCAGGAATGCTCTCTGGGTTTCCGGGCGCCGGGGCTGAGGGTACACAGTGCCTGCGCTGGAGCAAAACCCACGGCAGACCCTCCTGTGCACTTGGGCCTCTAGCAGCCCGGCCTCAGGAGCGCAGCGCGGCCTCGCAGCACTGCAGATGCGCCACTGGCTGATGGCTCAGACCCTGTGTGGCCCCCTCTGGGTCCCGCCCTAACGGTCCGGCAGTGACTCCATCTTAGACTTTTGTGCTGGCTAGGACCATGTGACGCACAGGGGCCTCGCGGGGCCCTGAGGTTGTCCTGGTGTCCCTGAGTTTCTGCTGAGCCAGCCTTTCCTGCATGGCGCGGCGGGGGCGCGGGTGTGCATGCCTGTGACGCCCCCATCCCGTCTCCCTCGCTGGCACTTCCTGCTTCCTCTTGTCCTCCCTGTCTGTCCTCTGACTCCACTTTCCTGTTTGTTTCCATTCTGCAGTCCAACGAAGCGGCTGTCCAGCAAGAAGGTGGCAAGGTAGGACCCTTTCTGAAACGTATCCCTGCTCATGGTGCTTTTGCAAGAAAACTTTTGAAAGTCACTTCTCATTGTTTGGGATTGAAAATGACTTGAAGGGTGAGCTGTAAAAAGACTTGCTCCAGTGGCAGACGGGGACCCTGGTATGTGGCAGGGGGTCTGTGGTGGGAGCCCTTGCCTCCCTCCAGTTGGGTTGAGTCTTTCCCACCAGAGGGCTGGGCAGGGTTGGGGGGCCCCCAATGCCACAGCCCAGGTCTGGGTCTGCCTCCTTCAAGGGCTGCACCCCTCCAGCCCCGCCGTCTCCCCCCGGTGAGGAGGTGGACGAGTTTGTGAACAATGTGCATCGGGACTGTCCCTTCCCTCTTCAGTTACGGAGCTGCCCCTGGCCCCCCTCACTGAGGGCTGAGGGCGTGTGGACTCTCCCCTCCTGCCAGGCGTGCCCAAGGCCAGCATTCTCCACGGGGAAGCTTGCGATGTGTTTACTGGATTTCCTTTCTGAGAAGCGTTGTTGCTTCTCCCGGAGACAGTGATTGCCTTGATGTTTTTGTTTGTGTCGTCTCCTGCCTGGACGGCCCCCGGAGCCCTGGCCCTGCGTGCCTGTGCCATGCGGGCCGCGTGTCTCTCAGGTGTCAGCTTGTCTCGCCCCTGGGCCCTTCTTCCCTTTTTAATCTCCGTTTTCTGTCCAGCACGTCTTCCTGTAGCTTCTTGAGAAGAGGGGTGCCCAGAAAATAGACGGTTGTGCCCTCGTCGGGTGCCTCGCCCCTGTGATCTGGCTTGGTGCAGACTTCCACATCAGAAGTGGCTTCCCTTTCGCAGCTTGAAAGGCACTACTCTTGAGGCGCTAGCCCCAGCACCGCTGCGGAGGGTCCAGCCCAGCACTCTCTGGATCTCTTGGTGACCACGTCTCCCTTCTGGGAGCTCCTAGGAGCGCTCCCCTTCCCTGACGCTCAGGCCTCTTCAGGGAGCCTTTGCGCCCTTTTCCTGGTTAATTTTGCTGGCGGAGTGGAAGGCCTGGCTCTAGTCTAGAGGCTCCTGCCTGACTGCCGGCCTCTCTGGGGCGCTGGTCTGCAGTGTCCTCCACGCCCTGCCCCCCACCCCCACCCCCAGCGCCTGCTGGCGGCCTCTGCCCAGCGCAACTGCGTTCCCCTCTCTGAGCGCTGCCTCCTACTGGAGGCCTCCGGCTGACAGCCAGCAGGGCCCCTGGCCCATGTGAGCTGGGGACAGTGCGCCTCTGTCAGCCGGCCTGGCGCATGGCCTTCAGGCAGCTCACAGGTTGGGTGCAGCCCATTGGGGGCCCCGGTCCCCAGTCGTGTGCCTGCTCGGGGCTGCCCCCCTCCCTACTGTGCTCCTCTCTGTGGCCCCTCGGGTGCTGGCCGCCGGGCCTCTCCTCCAGCGTGTGGTCCCTGAACATCCTGTCTTTGGTGCCACCTGCTTTCCCACCGTCCGTCCCTGAGGCCGTGAATTGCTTGTTTTCCTTTTCCTATGACCCTGAGGGCTGAGGGCCCAGAGGGGTGGAGGCCACCCCGCAGACCCACACCCCTCACTTGTCCTCTCCATCCCCTGGGTCTCAGTGGTCCTCCTGGCTCCTGACCAGGCTCTGACCAGAGTTGTGGCCTTACTGCCATGCCCGTCCCACCTTTCACCCAAACACCTGCAGCTGGCGGGACGTGCTGCCCGAGTCCCGTCCTCCCAGCCCAGAGTCAGGCCCAGGGGGCCTGGGCCCTGGGCCGCGGCCCTGAGGCTGGCCTGTGGCTGCTGCTCTTGAGAATCTGACCCTCCCTCATGGGTGCCCTTGTGGGAGAAAGCCTGGCCTGCGGGTGTGTGTAGCATGCCGTGCATATGCACACGCACACACGTGTGCAATTTTAGTCTGCTGCCACCATAACTGTCCCTGGCCTCCTGAGGAAGCTCAGCGTGCCTGCTGTCACTTCTCTCTACCTGGCTGTGGTCCCCGCGTGCAGGCGGCTCTGCGACTGGGCACCAGCGACCCTGCAGGGCGACAGCAGCTCTGGGGTCTGGTTGTGACTAGGTCTCGACTTGACCTGCCTCCTTTTGGTGGATCAGGCACGGGTTCCCTTCTCCTGCTGGACCTCCTCAGTGAGGACGGGCTTAAATAAAGAAGCTCCCATCTCCACGCGAGGACCCTTGACCTTACTGAGATGGCTCCATCTGAGCCATCTGAGATGGCTCCATCTGAGATGGCTCAGCCACACACCCCCAAGCCGGAGTCAGCCCCTGGTCTGAGGTCAGGGTCGGGTGTTGGTCCCAGGCATGGCCCCTTCTTGGGACGGTCTCTGGGCCAGGAGCTCATGTTCGGGTCCCGCTGTGGACGCGGATATGGAGCGGCTCAGTGGGAGCTGATGCTGTCCTCACGGCCCTGCGGGGTCAGTGAAGTCCACAGCCCGGCGCCAATACGTCCCCCAGGGCACCGTCGGGCTTGAGGCCCCTGGGCACAAAGATGCCCTTCTTTGTTCCCCTGAGAATGTTTCTGGAAAGATAAAAAGAATGTAGAAGCTCGGTCAGTACGGAAAAGGAGATAGAGCTTCCTTCATACGTTTGGTAGAGCGCTCGTTTTAACAGCATTTTACTGAACCGGCTCTCCGTGCTCTGTCCTTAGCTGCGTGACCGCCTGCGGGAGCCCGTGCCCTAGCACAGTGGGGGTGCCCGGCCTCCTCGGGGTCACACCACGCTGAGTCTCTTGTGCGTCACAGCCGCGGGCCTGTTCCGCCGCTGGAGCCCCGCACCTGGGCCCTGTGGCTGCCCCCGGTGGCGCACCTGCAAATCAGAGACAGAGAGGGAGCCAGAGTCCTGGTGCCCCAAGACCCTGACCCTGAGCACAGTCCACCGGCTCAGGGGACGTGAGATTATTTCATACTGCCGAGAGGGGTGACGTCCTGTTTTATTGCCCAAGTACAAAGTACCCGGCCCAGAAGCTGGCAGAGGAGGAGGCCAGGCCTGTGAGGCCCTCGCTTGCCCGGCCCTTGGTTGCAGCGTCCTGCCGGAAGGCCCTCCAGTGGAGCCCTGCCTGTTGCCCCAGAGCTCTGCCTCTGCACAGTCCCAGGCTTGCTCACGCGCACAGGCCTGGCCCCGTGGTCGCTCCCCTTCTCTACTCTCCTCGCCCTGCTGAAGGACCTCTGGACGGGCCTGTCATCTCTCCTCCACAGGCATCTGCAGCAGTCAGGGGCCCTGACCATGGACGCCCTTCAGGACCCTCCCCCAGGCCCCGTGGAGGGCGTGGACGAGGACATCGCCGACAAGGTGGGCCCTGGACTGGTGGCAGGGCCGGCGGGTGTGGTGGGCGAGGTGTGCAGAGTGCGGTGGGAGGTGGGGCTGGCACCGTGGGGGCTGAGCAGACCCCAGCAGCCCTGCTGGTCTCTGGCGGGCGCCGTCAGGGTCGGCAGCCTCGGGTGAACAGGAAACGGACACCTGTTCATGGAGAGGTGCTGGGTGGGCCACAGCGATCCCGGAGCCAGGGCCCCAAGCCAGGCCGTGGGTGGAATCCGCTGCTCCAGAGAGGTTCCTCAGGGAGGGGCCGCCTCCCTGTGGCCGAGGTCATGAGGCTCAGGGCTCCGGGACGTTCAGGGGCCGGGTAACGGCACAGCCCTGCCTCCTCTCCACCTCCCAGTCCACCCTCCTCCCCCCACCTCCCCGTCTAGCTCCCATCCAGTCCAGCTCCTGCCCCGCCTTGGAACCTGGCTGGGATAAGTTTTTTTTTTTAGCACACCCTTAAATCCTAGAGTGGCTTCCCTAAAATCATGGGGTTATCCTCTGTGGTCACCAGGGCAGTGTGTGTTTTTCAGGTTTATATTTTCCCTTTAAGTTGTAAGAACATTCACTTATGTTCTGTCATTTCCCCCCTTTCTTCAAGTGAAATAATTTAATACCCCTTCNACCCTCCTCCCCTTCTGCCAGCCTCCCCATCCACCCTCCCCCTCCCCTCCTCCCTGTCCACTTCTCTTGGACCTGCTCTCTGCAGCGTCTCAGCTCTGCCGAGCCCTCCCCACTCTCCAGTTTGGTGGCCTGGTCATCACACCTCTCACCACCTGCTGAGTGTGCCGGGCTCCCTGAGGCGGGTGGGGCCGACCCTGGCCCTTCTGTGCACTCACTGCCCCTGCAGAGCAGCGCCTGGCCGCGCTGGAGGCCTGAGGGTGCAGTGTGCACCCTGCCCTCACTGGTGCTCCCGGCTCTCCAGCCTGGGGTGTGGCCTCCAGGACCATCTGCTTGGGGCACACACTCTCCCAGCCCCTTGTTCTCAAGCCACCATCTCACTCGCCAGGTTGTCTTCCTGGAGAAGCGGGTGTCAGAACTGGAAAAGGACACAGCTGCCAACGGGGAGCAGCACAGCCGGCTGCGGCAGGAGAACCTCCAGCTGGTGCACAGGTGAGGGCAGGGACACAGGTGAGCACAGGGCGCACAGGTGAGGGCAGGGCGCACAGGTGAGGGCAGGGCGCACAGGTGAGGGCAGGGTGCACAGGTGAGGGCAGGCACACAGGTGAGGGCAGGGCGCATAGGTGAGGGCAGGGACACGGGTGAGGGCAGGCCGCACGGGTGAGGGCAGGGACACAGGTGAGGGCAGGGACACAGGTCAGCACAGGGCGCACAAGTGAGCAGAGAGCACACAGGTGAGGGCACGGACACAGGTGAGCACAGGGTGCAGATCTCTTGCAGCCTACAAGGTGTGATCCACCCTCTGGTTGTTCTCCCCTTAGGTTCTGTAGGCACTGCCCCACATCCAGCTGCTCCGGCCATCTCTCTGGGTGCTGGTGGGGTGAGCGAGGCTCTCCCCGAGGAAAGGGCAAGGGAGGGCCCCTCAAGAGCAGCCAGGGCCACACTGTGTCCTTGGAGCATCTAGCTGAGCTTCCCATCTGGGGGTGTCTGGCATGTGCCCCCATTCCAAGAACCTGTCCTGATGCAGGATTGCATCATGTCTGAGTCCCCCTGGACTAGGAGACCAAGACTCGGGGGCTCAGAGACAGTGCTGGGCCCTGGGTGGGGGCGGCCAGACAGCTCTCTCAGATGACGGGTGGGCCTTCTGGCCTGACGGGCGTTTATCAGTCACCCACACGCTGGTGAAAAGCCCAACCTGCCCTGCCCTGCTCGCCAGCCCCAGGCCGTCCATGCCTGGCTGCTGGGCCGCTCCTCCTGGTTTTGCCTGAGTCCCCTCGGCCCGTGTGCCTGGGGCTGCTTTGCGGTTCCCAGCCTGCAACCCCCATGGCCTTTTTTCCTGCATGTGACAAGTTCCACCTGCGTCCCCCACATCTGGTTTCTTATCCTCCAGATTCCACGTCTTCACCCACTTGGTTTCTAAATAGAGGCCCTGCTCAAGGCACAGGAACCCAGCTCCCTAAGGCCTCACGTGTCTGAAAAAGGCTTTGTGCCCCAGCGCCCCCCACCACTGACAAGTGGCTGAGTCTGGGATTCCGCTGGGAGCCACCCCGGGCAGCCTGCTCCTTTGCGGTCTGTCCGTCTCTTAGCAGGGCCTGGTACCGCTAGGCTCACGGCTCTATGGGTCCTGCTCCCTCCTCAGGTGCTGGGAGGGTGCTGCTGAGCCAGGGGCAGGAGGTCCTAGCCCTTAAATCTGGAAGGCGGCTCCCTCAGCTTCAGGAAGATCGTTCCTAGGACTGTTCCTCTGTGTAGTTTCTCCCGTTTTCTCTCTAGTTCAGTAGTCAGTCTGCACTTCTGTTAGTCAGGTATTAGACCTTCTGGACTGTTCTCCTTTCCTTTACTTTCCTATTCTCTGACTTTCTCCTTTTTCCTTGCTATGTGATGATTCTTAGTTTTTTCTTTCAGTTCCTCTTGAATTCAGAATTTTCTTGTGTTGGAGTTTTAATTGCTAAGAGCTACCTCTGTTGTACGTCGCTCCTGTGACAGCTGCTGTCTCGTGGATGTGGCGTCTCTGGCCTCTGAGGCTGACAGTTGCAGCGTCTCCCGCAAGATGTGTGTCTCCTTCGGGTCGTTCTTCCTGTTTGCTCTGGACGTTTTGTGTTAGAGCTTTCCTGTGGTGTGTGGTGGTCTTCGACCTACTGTGTACTCTGAGGTGCAGGCACCAAAAAGCAGATGAGAAGCCCCGTGTGCAGGGCAGCTGGGGGCGCGCCAGCCCTGCCGTCTGGGAGACCTCCTGCAAGTAGGCATGGTGGTCTGGGAAGATACCAGGGCCGGGGTCTCCATGCGGACATTCCATCTGTCCCCAAGTTCTTGCAACACCTGCCTTTACATCTGACCTTGTGGGGGGCAGTGTGTAAACCACGTCCCCAATCTGGAGTAGCAGGTCGAGGCGCCCGGGGCCAGGCACCTCTTGGGCTTGTCCCGAGACGGTCTCCCACTCACACCCAGCAAGCTGACAGCCACTGTGGGTGCAGGCCGGGGTGGGGGTGAGGTCCCCCGAGAACAATGGGGACTGCCCCTGCTGTCAGGACTGTGCCGGGGTCTGAAGCCCAGGCACCCTCAGTGCGGGGTGGAGGCTCCTTTGGGGGACACGTCTCCTGCTTCAGAACCGCCCTTGACGAGAGCTGTGGCCGTGGGGCATCCTCAGTGCCTGCCCGTCCCTCCTCCGGGCAGGGCCACTCTCCAGGTCTGGGCACAGCGTCTCAGGACAGTCTCTCCCCCTCTGCCGGCAGAGCCAACGCCCTGGAGGAGCAGCTCAAGGAGCAGGAGCTGAGAGCCTGTGAGATGGTCCTGGAGGAGACCCGCAAGCAGAAGGAGCTCCTGTGCAAGATGGAGCGGGAGAAGAGCATCGAGATCGAGAACCTGCAGGCCAGGTGGGGGAGCGGGGGAGGGGAAGATGGGGATGGGGCGGAGGGGGGCAGAAGGGGGCGATGGAGGATGGGAAGGGGGAGGTGGGGGCNCTCGGCCTTCAGCAGGCAGCAGTGATTCATGACTCCAGGCCCTTAAGCATGTGTTTCTGTCCGGCTCTTATAGCTGAAAAATACATTTGGACACATTTTCACAGTGGCGGGCAGCAGGAGGGGCTGCACGCAGAGCTGTGCTGGGGTCTCCCTGGACAGAGACCTCCTGGGGGCAGACCTGCGGCGCCAGCACCCAGGACAACCTTCTTGCTGGACCTCAGCACAGTGGGGTCAGCGGACTTCGGGAGAGCCTCTCCATGGGGCCCTGTGCACTGGCCTGTGGGTGCCATGGGTGGGCCATCCTGCTGGTTGAACAGGCAGCAGCTGGGCCGAAGCTGGATGGGGCCTCGAGAGGTCCTCGGAGCGAGACGGCATTTGGGTCACCGCCTGCCCTGTGCACCTCCGTCAGCAGCCCTGGGGGTTCAGGGGCCTGAGGGAACCAGGGCTCCTGGGAGAAGGGCGGGCATGTGACTGGGCCAGAGGAAAACCAGCAGAAGTGGGGAGGCAGTGGAGCACAGTCAGGCGGCATATCACGGGCTCCGGGTGGGCAGAGCTGGGACACAGCGGGAGCCTCTGCCAGAGCCTGGGCCAATGAGGAACCCGAGGAACACGTGGAGAAGCCCCCTTGGGGGTCCCTGGAGCCTGGACGGGGCCTATGACTAGAAGACAGAGGACAGACGGGAAAAGCAGAACCTGACCAAGGAGACACCTGGCAGACAGACCACCCAGTGGTCCAGGTCAACGTCACGCGGGGTGCGAAGGGCACCCCCCTTTGTGGGGCTCTCCCCAGACCCACAGCCTGTGCAGTCACCGGAGGACCCCAGACGAGCCCAGCCTGAGGGGCACCCACCAAACACAGGGCCAGCCCTGCTCAGAATGTCAAGGTCACGAAGAGCAGGCAAGCCCAGAGATGCTGCAGCCCGAGGGGACAGAGGAGCCATGATGGTGTCGTGGTGTGGGGACCCGATGGGAAGGGGCGTTGGGGGGAGGCTGGGTCAAGGCCGTGGCTTGGTCACCCATGTTTACAGTGTGAGTGTGACAGGTGCCACGAGAACGAGCAGATGTCTCGAGAAGCCGCCAGGGGCTCGGGGTCCAGGGACCCGCTCTGTGGCGACAGCTTTTCTGTAAATGTGAGGCTTCCCCACACCTGAGGTGTGGATGCCGTCCTGGCCTCTGAGGAGCTCTGGCCCCTGTGTGGGCATGTGTGGTGGTCGCGGACAGCTCCGCAGGTCCCAGCCTAGTCCTTGTGCCCCAGGCTGCAGCAGCTGGACGAGGAGAACAGCGAGCTGAGGTCCTGCACGCCCTGCCTGAAGGCCAACATCGAGCGCCTGGAGGAGGTGAGCTGCCCCCCGGCTCCCCGCGCTCCTCCCGGGGTACCTGTGGGCCACCAGGACCTGAGACAGGGTCTCCAAGGCGAGGGAGCTGCCCGGTTGGCAGTGACATGGGGCCCCTAGACTGAGGGAGCCAGGACAGGCGGGGCCTGGCCCTCCCTTTGCCAAAAGGTGCATGGCCCTGCCTGGCTTCTTGGGGTCCGTGGGCCTGGAAAGTTACACTTAGATGAACCCCTGATTTGATCCAGGATGCTGTCCTTGAGGGGCTGACTGCAGCTGGCTTGCTGTGCACCCTGAGGACAACTGGGAGCACTTGGGTTCAGCCCCTGCTCCTTTGTGGGTCCCACCTCCCCCCCCAGAAACAGTACCTGGGGCTGGGGGGGCTGTGAGGGACTGCGGCATGCGGGCGTGTCCATGGCTGCCTTCTTTCTTACAGGAGAAGCAGAAGCTGCTGGATGAGATTGAGGAGCTGTCCGTGCGGCTCAGCAATGAGCAGGAGAACAGGCGGAAGTTGGGGGACCGGCTGAGCCACGAGAGGCACCAGTTCCAGAGGGACAAGGAGGCCACCCAGGAGGTGAGCAGGGGCTGCCCCCATGGGTGCTGGGACCACCCAGAGGCCCTGCGGCCTGGTTGAGCCCGCTCCCCCGCAGCTGATCGAGGACCTGCGCAAGCAGCTGGAGCACCTGCAGCTCTTCAAGCTGGAGGCCGAGCAGCGGAGGGGCCGCAGCAGCAGCGTGGGCTTGCAAGAATACCACAGCCGCACGCGGGAGAGTGAGCTGGAGCAGGAGGTCCGCAGGCTCAAGCAGGTGCGCTGGGGCTGCACCCGGCGGGAGGGCCTGCCCTGTGCGCCCGGGAGTGACGCCCTGTGTCCCCCAGGACAACCGCAGCCTGAAGGAGCAGAATGACGAGCTCAACGGGCAGATCATCAACTTGAGCATCCAGGGCGCCAGGAGCCTCTTCTCCACGGCCTTCTCCGAGTCCTTGGCCGCGGAGATCAGCTCAGTCTCGCGAGATGAGGTAACGGCCCCGCCCCTCAGGTGCCCCACGCAGCCCACCCCCCACGTGGCCTGCAGGCATCCGCAGTCCAGGCCCCAGGCACCAACCCCGCGCCCCCCCCTCCCCCCCAGCTCATGGACGCCATTCAGAAGCAGGAAGAGATCAATTTCCGGTTGCAAGACTACATCGACAGGATCATCGTGGCCATCATGGAGACCAACCCATCCATCCTGGAGGTCAAGTAGCCGCGGGAAGGCTCCGCCCAGCACGCCTGGTCTCCCTCGCCCAGCAGGGAGGACACAGCTGAGCCGGGGTGGGGCCAGACGAGGGGCTCCAGGACAGCTTCCGGCTGGGCAAGCCCCTCTGACCTCCCGCGCTTCCCGCCCGGTTGGGGAGGAAGGGAAACGGGTCACCCGGAGTGCTGCTCCCCGTGGCCACCAGGTGCCCTGCCCGGTGCCGTCCAGGCCTGCGCTGCCCCTGGACAGCACACAGGCCCCAAAACCCTGGCGCCAGACGTGGGGGGAGGATAGGCAGGCGAGGACAGTGCCGTCAAGGTCCAGCCAGGCGCTGCTGTGCCCCCAGCTTTCCTGGGTTGTTTGGGCCGGCACCCAACTGGAAGGGGCCCCTTGATCCAGCGTGAAGCCTGGGGGCCTGCGGGTCACAGGGCCGTGCCCCCAGCCACACCCTGGCTGCACTAATCCTATGATGTGAGAGCCACCAGGTGGGGGGTCCCCATGCAGATGTCCAGTGCTCCCAGGAGTCCACATGTCTGGGGCCAGTTTCCTCCGGGAGTAAGAGGTCTTCAGGAGCTGTGGTCCCTCTGCCAGGTGCACTTTGCAGGAGGCCAGGCAGGGCTGGCTCCCATGTCCAGAGGTCAGGGCCTTCCTGGCGGCTTGGGGGCTCCTTCAAGGAGCAGCAGCGTCACCCCCCGGGGCTGCAGGCCTGCCCCAGGGCCTGAGTACGGCCAGGACCCCCCTGGAGCGGGTGGGGTGGGGGCCCTGCTGGTGCGAGCATGTACGTGAGGGAGTGTGTGTGCGTGCAAGAGTGTGAGCATGTGTGTGGCCCTGTGTCCTTCCACCCTCTGCGTGGCCCACCTTCTACACTAAGGTTTAAGATATTGCCTCGTATTGTACATTCTGGGGAAAGCCTTGGGTGTAAATCAGTGTAAACTTGGAGGAGAGATTTTTCTATTATGTAGAGTAGGTATTTTTTATAGATTGAAGGTTGATCAATTTTTTAATACTTCCAAGAGAGAAAACTATCTGTGTATACACATGAAATATATATATATGTACAATAATAAACACTGGAACTCTGCTCCCCGCCCTGCCATGCCCCGCCACACAGCCTGGGTCTGTTTTTGTGAACTTGAGCTGCCCCGAGCCCTTCTCGTAGACGCCGGGCACTGACCTGCACACTCACCCTGTTTTCACCCCAAAAAAGAGCTCTCGGCCATGTGACAGCAGCCTGGATGACACGGGATGTGAGCGCCCAGGGGCCCCAACACCAGTGAGAGGCAGTGCTGAGGGGCTGGCCAGAGGCTCCCTGCAGCATCCCCTGGGCTGGGCAACAGGAGGCCTGGTCCAGCCAGCCCCTCCCAGAGGCGGTGTGCGGGATTGCCCCGCCAGGCTGGGCCCCCAGGGGAGCCCAACTGGGGCACCTCCTGGGCCAAGGCGATACGGTGGGGCCTCAGGGCTGTGTTCATGGTAGGACAAGGCCCCTGAGTGTGGCCTGGCTGCTGACATGGTGCCAGGGGCCAGCTGGGTAGAACCCATGGATCAGGTAATCATGGATCAAGAGGGCTCCAGGAGGGGCAGGCCAGAGCACCGGAAGGAAGACACTGGAGAGGCACAGGCCCCTTGAGACTGTGGGGGAAGGCTTGACAGGGGGTCCAGGGCAGGAGGGCTCGGGTGGTTCTGAGGGTGAGTGGCCAAGTCTGACTTCAAGGGGGGTGTCATCTAGCAGTCCCCAACACTCGATTCCCTAGCTAGGTGCCTGTGACACCCAGCACTGAGGTACCTGTGTACCAGACGCAGGTGGAGACAGGCCCTGCCTGACAACCCAGTGGGGCAGAGAGGGGCTTGAGTCAGGGCTACTAACCACGTGGCTCCAGCTGACCGCAGATGGACCTGCCTGCAGGAAGCAGGGCCCCCTGGCCTCATCCTCAGCTGGGGGTGGGTGGGGCACTAGAGGGTTGCCAGGGGCCTGGGCACTGTGGGGGGCAATTGGAGGGTGTGGATGTGTCACGGGAGTTCTGCCTGGAGCCTGCACCCTGGCCAGGATTTCAGGGGGCCTGGAGAAAGGATCAGGCCCCCCTCCATGCTCCTGGTGCTAAGGGGTGGCTCCCCAGAGTCGACTCAGGGCCTCACCAAGTTCAGTAGTGGAGCTGGGACTTGTACCTGTCCCCCCATCCCCGGTCCACGGTCACATGCCCAGGGCAGCCAGGGAGGGCAGCACTGTGCCAGGCCTTGGGCTGCAGGCTTCACCCCTAGGCTCTGGGTGGAGCTGTGCAAGGAGGGGGGGCTCAGCACTTGGGGTGCCCCGCGGCTGCAGCTGGTTCAGGGGGGTCAGTGGGTGCCTGGAAGGGCCTTGTCCCCAGCCTGGAGGCACTGAGGGAGTCTCTGCTGGCCCAGGACAGTCAGGTTACGTCCTGTCTGGAGCCTGTAGGGCCCATCTCTGCCTAGGAGGAGAAGCGGAGTGTGTGTGTGTGGTGTGTGTGTGCCCTCTCACTCTGTCAGGTAAACCAGAGCCAGGCAGGGGTTTCTCCCTGAATCCCACTATCTCTTCCCCTCCTAAACGTAGGGGCCTGTCTGCAGCCCTGCTGGTCCCTGCAGCCAACACTGAGGCCCCTGCCCTGGCCTGCAGGGGTCCCAGCCCCCTCTGCACAGGGTGGGCTGGGAGAGCATGTGACTTAGCAGGGCCTGGCTTCCTAGCGAGCTCTTTACAGGACCCGCCCAGGCGGGGTGTGCCCAGAGTGTGGAGAGGCTGCAGGGGACACAGGAGGCCAGAGGGCGTCTCACCCAGGAGGACCCTCCACCCTCAGCCCCAAAGCGGATCCTGTCTCAAGTCAGCACTTCCCTCATGCTACTAGAGCTGTGGAGGCCAAGATCTCGGCCTGTTCGTGAACGAAGTGTGCAGAGCAAGGCTCTGCCCCTCCTGCACAGCTGCCCTGACTCCAGGCTCATCGTGTCCCACACGCACTGCCTAGCCATGGCTGAGGCCAGCTCAGGCCTGTCCACGCTAAAGGGTGGCCACTCTGCACTCCCAGCCCAGGGGCCCCAGTGCCTGTTGCTCCGTCTGCTGGAGGTTCAGAGACTGTGGGACGGAGGCCCCGTGAGGGCATCTCACAAAACAAGTGGTCCTCATGTAAAACCCCGCCAGAGCACAGGTGTGTCCAGTCCTCAGCCGGCTGGCCTCAACTGCCCGGTGCCTGTCACACCAGAAAGGGTCCCTGTGCCCACGTCCCTGCAGACCCTCTACTCCTCACGAGCATCTGGGTGTCCTCACTGCTGTGTCCCAAAGCCGAGAAGAGCACGGGGGAGACCTGCCCCCAGGGTCTCCCCTCCCCTCCAGGCGGCTATCTCCTTAAAGTCACCCTCTGCTTTGCGATTCCTTAAAACTTGAACCTGCGCACCTTGGTACATCTGAGATGCTCACAGGCTGATGGCCCTCTTTAGTGCGGCTCACCATGACCTGTCCCTTCCTCCCCACTACTGCAGGCCGTGCCCCTCACCGAGCAGGGCTGGGATGTGCCTGCTCTCTCCCCACCCGGCCCCCAACCAGGACTAAAGTGAGCTGGCAGGAACCTGCCTCAACTTCAGCTGTTTTTCTTGTTAGGAGGCTACAGGGCTGTGGACATCAGCTCTGACCCAGTCACCCCAGGAAATGCACAGGGAGGGAAAGGGAGTTGTGGTCACTGAGCCACCACTAGGAGTCAGCCCTGACTCTGTCCTCAAGTGATTCTGCAGCTTCCAGGCCTTGGTCAGAGGCCTGTCACTGCCACCTTCGTGCAGGTGAGGAAGCTGGGGGCGGGCTGAGTCGCCGCGGGCACTCAGGAAGGGGCTGTCTTGGAGGCTGTGTCTGAAGCCCGAGCACCCGGGGTGGGGACGTAGTTGTCCTGGCTGCAGCATCTGGAGAGATGGAGGTTTTCCAGGAGCCCTGAGCGCTGTCCCCGAAGGTCCCACTGACCGGACGCTGGAGCAAACATCACCCAGCTCCCCGTGCAGAAATCCTCTCCGTGTGGAGGCACTACTGGACCACGCCCACTCTCCTTAAATCTGTCCTACCTAGGGGCCTCCCTCCCGTCTTCCCGCGTGGGCCGTGCCTTCTCCGGCTCCACACGCCCCGCGGAAACCAGGGTCCCGGAGTTCCGCCCTCAGCGTCCCCTCTCCTCACTGCGGCCTCCCCGTGCTTCGCGGGCGCCAGGTAAACCGCTGACACCAAAGCTCTTTCAGGCGGTACTGCTGCCTCCAGAAGCCCTAGGCGACGGAAGGCAGGGGGCCATGGGCAGGGCCTACCCCCCAGTTCCGCGGCTGCTGGGTTGTCAGAGTGACCTCCTGCTGTCCGACAGGCAGGGACAGAACGCGCCTGAGGGGCCGATTCTGCTCGGAGGCCCCAGGCATCACACTGGCTTCCTCCCTGCCAGGGGTCGAGCTGTGCGCTGTGGCTCCCTCGGTCCTCCGGCGGCCCGGGGGTGCTGGTGCCCCCGCTAGCCGAGGAGAACCCGGGGCTCGGACACGCCATGCGCCCAGGTCACCCCACGAGTGGCGCCGCTCTTGTCGATCCAGCGAAACTGGAGCGTCGGACCGTAAAGCCTTTGCTGGTCCTGAGGAAACAGAAAAGTTAGGAAGGACCCGGGAAGGAGCTGGCGCGTCTACGGGCCCCGCGGTCCTCAGGGGCCACAACCGTATCCCCGGCCGCAGCCTGGCACCTCCCCGCACGGAAACCGGAAGCGTCGTGCCGGGCCGCTAAAGGTCCCGCCCCTTCCTGCAGCCCGGGCATTCTGGGGCTTGTAGTCCTCGTTCCCTCATCGGTACCTCCTCCAGCACAGCTCGCCGCCCGGCAGCGGGCTCGGCCACTTCCCTCGGCGCCTGCGGGCGAGACTGCCGGGGACGTCGAAGGGCGCCAAGTCGAGGCGGCTACAGGCCGCCGCCCCGGAGTCAGCCTCCCGGCCTGCCTCGCGCGCCGCCCTGGACACTTGTGGGAGCGGTAGTTCGGGCGCGCGATTCACAGCGCCGCGTGCGCCCCGGGCGCGCCGTAGCCACGGGGCCCCGACCGGGCGCTACGCTACGGAGGCGGCGCAGGGTGCGGCGCGGGCCGGGCTGGGTCGGTGCGCTCGCCGGCTCCGCCACTCAGAGCGAGAAGCTGTCGGGGCCGCGCGCCGACGGCAGAGGGCCCGCCCGCCCTCCGAGAACAAGTTGTGGGCCGGCCGGCGCGGGCGAGCGAGCCGGGCCTCGGGGACTGAGGAGGCGCCGCGGGTTTGCGGAGGTGAGTCCCGTCACCCGGGCCAGGCCGGGGCCGGGGGCGCGGCCTGGACCCCCGGGAAGCCGTGGCCAACGGGCGGCGCCTCCTGGGCACTGGCCGGTCCTGGCCGGGCTGGGGACGCTGCTGGAGAGGGGAGCCGCCAGGACCTCGGGCGCCGGGCAGCGGGAGACCAGCCCAGGGTCTGTAGACGCGGGAGGCGGCCTCAGCCCCTCCTGCCCTTGAGCGCCCTTATCTCCGGTCAGTGTCCCGGCCGCGGCGGCGTTAGGGGAAGTGTCCGGCCCGGCCCGGTGGAGTGGGGGAGCAGGCGCGTCCTGTCTGCCCACTGGCCACCAACGTCGCTTCCTCCTACTGTTCTTTTCCTGTTGGCGCTGGAGCGAACCGAAAAGTTACCCATGGTGGCCCCCAGAGTGTCTGCTGGGCTCCCGGCCCACCGGGCTGCCCACAGGATGGGGGGCCCTTCTGATCCTGGCCAGGGCAGCCTTGTGTGATCAAATGGCCCTGATGGGGCTGGCTCTCGGGCCCCCTTAACACGCAGGAGTTTGTGACCAGACTGCAGACAACAGGACCCCAGTAAGGCCCAGCCTGGGAGTTTGGGGTCTTGTGGCTGCAAGCCCTGCCTAACTGGGGGAGCTGGGACTCAACTGGGTGCTTGGTGGTTCTGTGCTCTCCTGAGAGCCCCTCCTGCGGGGCCCCCTCCCTCTGCCTGCGTCTGGGGGCAGTCTAAGCCCCTGTGGGAGGAACCCCCCCACCCTGCCCCCAGAACTGGGCTCCAGGGGAGATGGGGTAAGTTGATCTTTCCACTTCTGAGTGCCTTTCTCAACCGTGGGGGAGAAGGGTAGTATTTCAGTGGCCCAGGTG